GAGTGCAATGGCGCGATCTCGGCTCACCGCAACCTCCGCCTCCTGGGTTCAGGCAATTCTCCTGCCTCAGCCTCCTGAGTAGCTGGGATTACAGGCACGCACCATCATGCCCAGCTAATTTTTTGTATTTTTAGTAGAGACAGGGTTTCACCATGTTGACCAGGATGGTCTCGATCTCTTGACCTCGTGATCCACCCGCCTCGGCCTCCCAAAGTGCTGGGATAACAGGCTTGAGCCACCGTGCCCGGCTCATGTCTTCTTATTCATGGCCGCAGCCGCCTTTCTTCTGAGGCCAGTCTCCACTCCAGGCCAAGGTGCATGGTGTGGCCGGAAATACCAGCAGTTGTGGACTCATGTAGCCCATGTCCTAGTCAGCAGCTTCCCCTTTGCCAGCTGCGGTGTCAGGACAAGTTAGCTTCTCTGCACCTTCATGTCAGCACCTGAAACCTGGAGCTCCGACTCCCTTTCCAGGGTTTGGGGGTTTTGGAGAGTACAAGAGGACTGTTGGAGGACTCTAATACCTTGGATTCCTTGGATTCCAGCGCTCTACAATTAGTCCCAGGAACTACATGTCAGTTCTGAAAATACCTGTAGGGTAGCTGTGTGTTCATGATGCCAGAGCTTGAAGTGTTTTGAGGAACAACACTGCCCATGTAGGAAGGGTGTAGTGGAGCCCCTTGTGCAGAGACCCCTCCTTGGAGGAGAGAGTTCTGGTTGAGCTTCCCCAGGGGATGCTGATACAGCTTTGCTGGCAGACTGAGTGGCAGTAGGCAAGCCATGCCGCTGTCTCTTCCTCCGTCTCCAAGGCAGGATCTCTGCTTTTGATTCCTGGACTTGCAGATGCTACTTCATGTACACAGCTGTCACGTCCCGCTGCAGTCTAGGATGGCAGCCAGAACAGCACTCCCATCAAGTATATTGGAAAAACCCTTTTACTTCCATAGCATTATGGTTCCTAAAAGGTGCCTGGTCTGCTTATTAGAGTATCCATTTTGCTTCACTTATATTATTAAAGGTACATAAAATAAGGATTTATTTATTTTTTTTCCATTTGAGATGGGAGTTTCGCTCTTGTTGCCCAAGTACCCGTCACCACGCCTGCCTAATTTTTGTATTATTAGTAGAGATGAGGTTTTGACATGTTGGCCAGGCTGGTCTTGAACTCCTGGCCTCAGATGATCCATCTGTCTCAGCCTCCCAAAGTGCTGGGGCCAAAATAAGTTTTTTTTGTTTTTTGAGACGTAGTTTGCTCTTGTTGCCCAGGCTGGTGGAGTGCAATGGCATGATCTTAGCTCACCACAACCTCCACCTCCTGGGTTCAAGCGATTCTTCTGCCTCAGCCCCCAGAGTAGCTGGGATTACAGGCATAAGCCACCACGCCCAGCTAATTTTTGTATTTTTAGAAGAGACAGGGTTTCACCATATCGGCCAGGCTGGTCTCGAACTCCTGAACTTGTGATCCGCCTGCTTCAGCCTCCCAAAGTGCTGTGATTACAGGTGTGAGCCACAGCATGTGGCCAAAAATAAGGATTTTTAATTGCAAAAACCAGTTCAGGTTTAAATGGTCTTACACCTTAAGGATAGATGGTGTTCTGGATGGGGAAGGGGTATGCATCACAGATGCATTGATGCTGTATGCTGAAAACACACACGTGCAACTAAACTCATTAAATAATGCTAAAGATTTTTCCTGGAAATGACTTCCTGGACCTTCCTTCCCATGTCCCCTCCTTTTGGTTGGAACACTTTGAAATAATGACTTAAGAATTTTCAGGGAGTGATTTTGACTATATGCAACTCTTACGTGCTGACTTTCAAACACAATCCCACCTATACTGTAGCTCCACTTCGTTCAAGTTACAGTGAGTAGTCTGTTATTACAGTGGTGCAAGTCAGTGGGAAGCAGGACGCAAAGAATATCAAATCGGGACCTTCCCTTGGTTCAAGTTTTCAAGCCACTTTCCAGCAGTTGGGAGAAATGCCTTTTATTTTCAAACCTGCCTGTCGAGTTTTTATCAGCTAAGATGGTCTTTTTCTAGATTACCTCATGGTGACCCACTGATAATTGGGGTATGTTGAAATGCCATTTCCTAACGGTGAGAGCAGCCTCTTAAGTCCTCTGGAAGCTTTTCCTGCCTGACGCTTTGGTGAAACATGCCTCAACTGGTACCAAGTTATTGCTCAGCATGGGATTGGAAGTAAGGGTCACAACAGGCAGGGGGAAGCAAAATAGAAACACTGCCTGATACTTTGCTATATCCACGTATTCAACATCTTCTACAACAGGGAAAGAAAATTTCCATCACTCAAGCTGAATGGTTCTCAAATGGTGGTGTAGAACCTAGAGATGATCCTTGAGCCCCATCTCAAGGACTCAGTACTAGCAGTCTGAGGTCTAAGGGTAAAGGAATTACCCTTCTGTACGCCAATACTTATTTGGCAATAAGCAGATTGAGTCATTTCTAGCATGAAGCATTTCAGATGGGAAACTCCCATCTTTAATACACCCAGTTTTCAAATCTGGCACTATTTCGTTCCTGTCAGAAATGGATGTCTTGCCGGGCGCGGTGGCTCAAGCCTGTAATCCCAGCACTGTGGGAGGCCGAGGCGGGTGGATCACGAGGTCAAGAGATCGAGACCATCCTGGTCAACATGGTGAAACCCCGTCCCTAAAAATACAAAAAATTAGCTGGGCATGCTGGCGCGTGCTTGTAGTCCCAACTACTCGGGAGGCTGAGGCAGGAGAATTGCCTGAGCCCAGGAGGCGGAGGTTGCGGTGAGCCGAGATCACGCCATTGCACTCCAGCCTGGGTAACAAGAACGAAACGCCGTCTCAAAAAAAAAAAAAAAAAAAAAAAAAAAAAAGGCGTTTTTCAAAGGGGCAGGCATTTGGATCAAACTGACAGACAATTCTAGAGCAATATGAGAGGGAGATACCCTTTCTGCTTGGCTCTCAAGAGAGAATGAAGCTGTTGAGAAAGATTCTTCTCTCCCTATACTGCACAATGACAAGGAACCAAAGCTAGGATGAGAAAATGCTCCATGTGATGAACAGGGAGAGAAACCACAGCCCTAGCTGGTCTGTGGAACTCATTCCCACAAAAAAAACTCAAGAGGGCCAAAAACCACCCCTCCCCAGACCCCCCGACAAAAACAAAACAAAAAAAACCACTCTAGGATACTTTAGTTTTCTCATGTTAGAATTGTTCAGCCTACATTTGTAAGCATCCTCTTGGAGGTGGAACATTGCCATAGCCTAATGTTAAATGATCTCCAGATTATTGGAAAGCAAACAGCAACAATATTCTTTTAAAATGGCTTTTATTGAGACACTTTTAGGGATTCTGCAATATTTCCAGCTGGGAATCTTTATTTCCAACTCTTAGGGTGCCTAAGCCCTTTTCTGAATGCCAAAAAACATACTCCCACCACCTTAATAAGAAAACATACTTATCTGTCTCTGTTCCAATATCCATCTGGGACCTGGACCCCGAGCCTTGTGCTGTCTGTACAAGTCTCACTAGTCCTTCACGTAGAACTCAGAAGTTCAAGCTAAGCTTTTCCCACTTGTTAATCAGGGAGGGTAATTTCCAAATGTGAGCTGGCCTAAATTCAGCTGGTATTTCTGATTTGGTAATCTGTGGGGACATCCTGTCCTAAATTTTGGCTGGTGCATGTAGAATTTATAATCTACCTGTATAACAGATTTAACATAGCTCCGCTCCTGCCCTGAAAGGTTCTAGTCTATTCTTGCACTTGTACATTTTAGGGAGAGGCTGGTCAAATCTCTACTCTCTGGCAACAGCATTAGCAAGTCTTTTGGAAAGGGACTCAGAAGTTATGGACATCAGCCACTTCAGACTTTAGGCCAGTATCCTTGAGAGATGACTGACCAGCCTCCTTGTGGATTGGAGCATCCCATCAACTAACTGCTGGAAATGTTGGCCTAATTCTGCTTCCCTGTAACGTTCCACTTTTTAGTGTAAGTTGCTCATGGGAAACTACGCACAGTAAAAATACCAGCTCCTTCCATCTTGACAGCCCTTTAAGTGTGTACTCTTCAAAGCCTTTCCCTTAATAGCAAGATGGCCAAGAGTGGCAAGAGGCAGAGCTGCCTGCACTACAATTGTTCCCATTGTTAAGGTGAAAATGAACACTTATCTTCATCTAGAAGAAAACCCCACCAGGCTATTAAAATTCTGCTTTCGAATTAATGTCAATCCGTTTACATCCTTTTAGAAGTCACTGAGACATTTACATATATATGCACGCTCTGCTCCTTAACAAAGGGTGAACTGAAAAACTCAAGGATGTTTACTTTTCAGTTAAAAGGTAAAAAACCACAAAACACATTCTGTACCAGGTGCCTCAAGAGAAAGTATTCTTTATGCAGATGACAGATGTTGGTTTTCCACAAGTTTCCTCTGTGACTGTGGCTGCCATCTGTGAAGAGTTATGGCATTAAATGGCACAAGATAAAATGGACACAAAAGACTGTCGTGTAATAAAGCAAATATTTACATTAAGCACAATACAGCAATTTATTTAGATGCTTAAAATGAATACAAAGGGAAATAAAGATCACAAAATTATACATACTACAACAGTGTGTCATATATTAGATGGTATAAATGAATACACCAGGATGGTGTTAACTAAAGAGAAAACTAAATATCCAAAATGCAGCACTCATTGGTTTGCTGCTTCAACACAACACACTTTTTATACAGATCTAAAAGGTGTCAAAATTAGTAGCTGCAAAGTCAATTCTTGCATGTGATTTTAGCTTAAAAGATTTCAGAAAACATCTGAAATACCAGTTTTTGTTTTTGACAGCTGTAAATGTCAAGGATATTCAGAACAAGAAAAATCCTATAATACAAGAGAGTCCAGATATATATCTTACGTGGCTGGCCTCTGTTGCAAGATTGTACAAGGTTATGTGCAAAAACTAAGTCTGTCCAAAAGTCCATACTAGCGCAGTTTTGAGCTTTTGCTAGGTAAACTAGATACAGCGTTTATTACACAGCAAGGTCAACACTAAAAAAAGAAATCTATGATGGGCACACAGTAACAGTATCATGAGCATCACTTGAATAGGTCTAAAAGACTGTACAAATATACATTTCAACTATTCAGAATGAATACATGAAAAAAAATCGCTTTTCCCAAAGTCTACTATACACATTAGACTGGTAGCTTTTACGTTGGCCCTACACTACCATGTGAATTAGGTTAACGCTTCTCAAAGACATCAGACCAATCATTTTACAGAGGGAAAGAAATGTTGAAAAGGCAGATAAAATAAACCTCTGCTTTTCCTCATGTGTATTCATGAGCCACCAGCTTATTGGTTTTCACATTTAGTTACTGTGTCTGTCAGAGAAGGTTCTGAAGCAAGATCAGCCTATCGTGTCATAGACTTAGAAATAACCACTGGAACTCAGCGGCCACATGTCCCACAGTCCAACCAGTACTCACAAGGCAGTACCAGTTAGAAGACAGCTTTGCAATCACACTGAATGGAGATTAGAGTTCTAGGCTGCAGCATGTCACCGACGCCAGGGAACCTGGCACTCAGGCCTGTTGGCTGCTCAGTTTAACTCCAGCTAAGCTGCCATGCATCGGCTCAGCTACTCCATCAGTCATGTTGTCAAACTGTTCCCCATCCTCACTGTCAATTGTGCTATTCTGCCACTCAATCTGGGGGTTAGATAAGCGCTCATCATTCTCAGATGCATTCTTCCACTGTGACTGGTCCTTGGACCAAAACCCTTCAACTTTTCCATAGGAACTATTCTTCCATTTCAACTGCTCTCTGTCACCTTGCATGGTAGCCTTTTTTTTAGCAGCTGGCTTACTGCTCCTTGCATCTTCACTTTGGGAAGACTCATCAGACCAGGTTCCTGGTTTCATTTCGCAGGTATTGTCCTCAAAGTCTGACACTTGTTGGGACCCAGGCCCACTCTCAGATGGAGAAGCACCATCTTTCCACTCAACAACATCGTCTTGGTCAACCTCACTATCAGAAGCGTTGTGCATTAGTTTGGTTGGTTCCTCAGTCAAATGAAGAGTTTCGTATTTTGAACCATCCTCCTCTTTTTGGTCTAGCTTCTCCTCAGATTCTAAAGCATCCTCAGGAATTACCTTCAGTACATGTTCCTCTGGGTTATCATTAGGGATTTTAGGCTCAACTTCAAAAACAGGTTCAAAAGGGCTACCACTTTCATTGGATTCTTCTTCCAAATTTTCAAAACTGTCTGAGGAACTGTCATCTTCTTTCCCAAGGTTGAGCTTTTTGTCAGCAGTCTTACTAGCATTGACTCTGGAATCCTTCTCATCATGATTTTCAAATAGCCACTCAGCATCAAAATCCATCTCATGCTTGACTTTATTTAATTCTTTCATGTTAAACCCCAGCAACACGCCAGGCTTGTACTTTTCACAATCACGGACACACTTCTTCCTTTTGTTACTAAAATGGGAAGCAATGTCACTCTTCCATAACCATAAACTGGCTGCTAGCTTCTCAATTTCTCTCCTGGTGGGATAGGGTTGCTTGTTAAAATACTTTGTTAGAAAGCTTTTCCTGGCTTCATAGGAATCATCTTCATGACCCTTGGGGTCTAAAGCTAAAACAACAGGCTCTTCAGGCTTCTCCTCAAAGAAGCTGGGTGAATCACTATCGTCATCTAACTTCCGTTTTTTCAGTAAGGGAAATTCCATTTGCTCGTAAGTGCGCTTCACAGGTGCCAGGCTGGGAGACTGATTAAGCCGAGAGGGTGCATTTGTCTTATCCTGGCCGTTTTGGGTCTTTCCAACTCCCCTGCAGTGAACTAGATGCAGAGTGATAGTCGAGGCGGTCATGTTGCTGGTATACACACCAAGGCAATGGATACATTTGTAGGTGAGCTTTTTCTCAACTGGATGAACCGTCTGAATAACCTGGTGCCTCTCTCGTAGGTGATGTGCAAGTGCATCTGATATGGGTCCTTTTAGGATTGAAAAGCAAAGAGGACAAAGGGTTTTCCCAACATCTTTTTTATAGGGCACTGCAGCTTGAGGTGAACTTTTAACAGGGATATCTGCCTTTTCCTGAACTTTTGGCTGTGGCTTTGGAGGAACGGGAGGGTTATTTTGGGCATGGTAAGCAACAGATTCAGCTGGGGCATCTCTCAGGTTGTACGTGGTTACCAGGAGATGGATGTTAGTGTGACTGCCCTGCTGCAATGTCAAATCAAAACTCAAAGTAGAATCTGTTTTAGGTCCCATCTCTTCATCAATGTGAACCATCCGCATGTGTGCGGCCATCTTTTCCACATCATTGAAAGTTGAACGGCAATATGGACAAGACAGACCATGAATTAACATATGGTTGAGCAGGGTATCTGTGGGCAAATAGCGATTACAGTACAGGCATTTGCTAGTAAAATTGTGTATTTTCATAATGTAGTTGGCTACTGCTGGGACTTTCTCAGCTTTATGTTCTTTTTCGAAGTGCACACTATAGACATTTTCAGGAAAAAGCTCATTACAGATTGTACATATTTTCCACTTTTGAGTTGAGGAAGTGTTACCTGGGGGAGGGCCTGTGGCAGCTGCAGTAGGTTTAGAGCTGGACTGACCTAACACTCTGGATGCCTGCGACTGGGAGAGGGAAGGAGACTTTAACTGGCCCGACGAGAGAGAAGAGGCATTGGCAGACTGCAGGGAGTATCTTGCTGGTGCCTGGGACCTCTGCTCTGACCCAAGCCCATAAGACCTTCCATTTCCACTTGGAAGTAACTGCTTTACAGACTGAGATTGTTGAGGAATGGAAACTGGTGCATTGCCCCCTAGACCCAGTCTCATTGACTGACCAACACTGTAACCCTGACCTACAGATTTGACTCCATAGTTGTTCTGCTGTAGGTGAACATTGGACATCATGTTGACTCCTGTAGAATTTAAGTTAGGCTTTGGTATTGAGAGTCGATTCACCATCTGCTGTGATGGTAAAGACCGGACATTTCCAGAAGCAAGGGAACCAATTCTTGGTGGGAGTCCCATACTCTTCTTGTCTTGAGGTTTGGGAGCAATTAGCATCAAGGGTTTGGATCGGGGGACCACTACATTTGTGTGCCCAATCATGGCAGTGACCTGATAGCCAATACGTTCGTGGTCTTCGATGACATGCTGTACCAAAGCTTCATAGGACTTTGGCATGAAAAGGCATCGCTTGCAGTGAATACTACTCTCTTCTCGGGCATTTGAGCCTAAGGGGACTGCGCCATTGAGTGATTTTTCTCCTGCCTTTGCTATGTAAGGTGCTGCCACGTGCTGAAAATGTTCCCTGTAAATGTGCTTCCTAACTATTTCGTAAAGAGGATCTCGGTAAGTGCACTTCTTACAGTAATAAACAGCTTGCTCTACACTGTCAGCCTGCTTAGGTTTAAGGCCATCATTTTTGTTTTTATCTTTGAAAGTGCTGAGGCTGCTACTTGGTGCGCTGGCGTTTGGAGCATGAAATATTTTAATGTGTGTTTCCAAAGTCTTTTTGTCTGCATTGAAGGTACAGTAGGGGCAATTAAGGAGAATCCTATTTTCAAAGTCTTCACTATGGACATTTCGGAAATGACTTTTGTAGGCAGAGAAGAATTTTGAGGAAAATGGACAAGCGCTGCAGCAGAAAGGTTTTGTCCGATAGTCCTAAAGTAAACAAACACAACTAGAATTAGAATGCTACTTCAGATAAGCAGTTAACAGATTCCAGATGCCCCCCATTCTTAATAATGCACTGATTTTAGTCCATTTTTTTTTTTTGTATAGTAACTTCATAAAACAGAAAAAACTCAAAAAAAAGCTAGCGTATTTTTGAGTGTAAATTAAAGTCAATGCTAAGTTCTTTCTCAATGTTTAGAAAAGGTCACGTTAGACAAACCAAAGACTAATGAGTTCAAGATAAACATTTTGCAGCTAGAAATGACAAGAAAAACCTAAATGAAGGAAGTCACAGGTTTACCATACAGTCATGTGTTGCTAAACCACAGAAATACATTCCCAAAAATACACGATGGTGTGAAATCCTAGAGTGTATTCGTACAGACCTAGATAGTACAACCTACTACATATCTAGGCTACACGGCATAGCCTATTGCTCTTACGTTACAAACCTGTACAGTATGTTTCTGTACTGAATACCCCAGGCAATGATTAGCACAATGGTAAATATTTGTGTTTTTAAACATAGCTAAGCACAGAGAAGGTATAGTAAAAGACAACATAACTAGTAAACTATACTATACAGGGCAGTCACCATGAACAAAGCTTACAGGACTGGAAGTTGCTCTGGGTGAGACAATAAATATGAAAGCCTGGGATACTACTGTACAATGCTGTAGACTTTATGAACACTTAGCTACACAAACTTACTAAAAAAAAAATAATCATGTGTTTTTTCTCACTGTTGCTTACGCTGGAGTGCAGTGGCACAATCACAGCTCACTGCAGCCTCAACCTCTTGAGCTCACAGGATCCTCCTACCTCCAGCTCAGCCCTGGAGACTTACAGGAGTCTGCCACCACACTTGAGTAAATTTTGTTGAGACAGGGTTTCACTCTGTTGCCCAGGCTGGCCTTGAACTCCTAGGCTCAAGCAATCCTCCTGCCTTGGGTTCCCAAAGTGCTGGGATTGCAAGCCACTGTGCCCAGCCCTAAAAAAATATTTTTTCTTCAATAACACATGAACTTCAGCTTGCTCTAAATTTATATGCTTTTAAATTTTTGGCTTTTTGACTCTTTCGTAGTAATACTTACCTTAAAAGCCAGGTGCTGGGCCTCATGCCTGTAATCCCAGCACTCTGGGAGGCCCAGGTGGGTGGAACACCTGAAGTCAGGAGTTTGAGACCACCCTGACCAGCATGGTGAAACACTGGCTCTACTGAAAATGCAAAAAATAGCTGGGCATGGTGGCAGGCACCTATAATCCCAGCTACTCAGGAGGCTGAGGCAGGACAATCGCTTAAACCCAGAAGGCAGAGGTTGCAGTGAGCCAAGATCGTGCCATAGCACTCTAGCCTGGGCAACAGAGTTAAACACCAAAAACCAAAACACAAACACATTGTAGGACTGTACAAAAATATTTTCTATCTTTATATACCTATTCTATAATCCTTTTTCTATTAAAATTTTGAAACCTTTTTTTTCCCCCTTAAAAACGAAGACACAAATGCATACCTTAGTCTAGGCCTACAGAGTGAGGATCAACATCACTATCTTCCATCTTCGTAACTTGTCCCACTAGAGGGTCTTCAGGAATAATAACACACGTGTTATCGTGGGAGCTGCCACCTCCCATGATAACAATGCCTTCTTCTGAATAACTGTGGAAGGACCTGCCTGAGGCTCTTATTGAGGAGGCGGCACAGTGATCAGAATATGTCCATGGTGCTTCGTTTCCTTTTTTCATCACAGATTTGCTTGTATGCAGATAATGAACCATGAACATTCTTCTCTATTAATGAACACAATTTCACATTGAGATCCATGTTTTCAAACTTAAGGAGCTTGCTGAGGTCTGCAAAAGCTTCTGCTAAATCCTTCACTGTATATTTTCTTGGGGGGTTCTTCTTTTGCTTTTCCTGCAGTTTCCTTTTCTCTTTCCTCTTCAGCTATGCATTCTTGTTCCAGTTCCCACAGCTCCACACAGGTTAATTCCTCAGGAACTACCTCCAGGAGATCCTCTAAGGTCATCCTCATCAACAAACAGGTTAAAGTTGTTTGCCATCTCAACCAGAAACCTTGTGATTTATGCAAATCCTCTCAAGTCATGGACAAACCTCTTGAGTGTATTTTTTTAGATGTCATGCATATACTCCTTGTTGAAATTACCCCAAGCCCAAGCAAGATTCTTAATGCAGTCACAGATATTGTAATCCTTCCAGAATTATATCAGAATCTTCTCAGTGTCTTCCCCAGCTGCGATGACAAGGCAAAGGACTTTCTCAGACAGAAGGCCTTAAAAGCTGCTATAACTCCAGCAGTTGGATCAAAGAGGTGGTGTTTGCTTATTATTGACAATAAATAAAATCTTAAAAGGTATGTTATTCTCCCAATGCTACCTCTCCATTTTGCAGGCGTATCAATTCAGGAGGTCATCTTGGTAGAGTCACCCATGACTTCATGTGGCTCCTGCAGTGCACTGGCCAAGTGTGTGTGTGTGTGTGTGTGTGTGTACTGATATGCCTGAAGCCCCTAGGGTTCTCACTGTGCCACAAATCACAAAGGGTTTCAATTTGTAGCCTGTAACATTGCCCCCAAGCAAGACTGTCATCCGTCCTTAAAAGCCTTGAAACCTTGCATTGCTTTGGCCTCCTTATGTATCAAAGTCCTTTTAAGTATTATCTGTTTCCAGAATACAAAGGACTCATCCATGTTGAAAATTTGCTCTGCCTAGTAATCTTCCTCCAGACTCACTTATCTAGAGCTTCCCAAAATTCTTCAGCTGCCTTCACATCAGCACTCACGGACTCACTTTTCCAATATGTAATGAGTAATGATTCTTGAATTGTTTAAACCACCCAGAACTAGCAGTAAATTCAACATCACAGCCAGGTCCAGCCTTTTATTTCAACACTGCCAGCAAACTTTTTGCTTTGACTGTGATCATCATGGTGCTGAGAGGTACACCGCACCATGTGTAACTGTGTCTGGTCTTCAAGCTGGGTCATCAGAAGCTTCTCTGTGTCTGATAAAGGTCCTTCTTGAATTTTTGTTAGTCTCACTGCCTTCAATGAAGCAGATGCTTTAAGAGCTTCTGTCACTTTGTTCTTGTTCTTCAAGATTGTAGCTATGGTGGAATAAGACATGCCTGACTGGCAAGAATTAACCATCACTGATTTTCCACCTTTGTAGTCCCTTAATCATTTGTTTCCAGGTCAACCACTCAACATGGCCTCTTACTGGCAACATTATAGACTTTGTACGCTAAGGGGCCATGATGAACAAAATACCATGAGATTAAACCAGCACAAGAGAAAATGATGCAATAAAAAGATACAGTAAACACGAGATATATGAGGCTGCTACCAGTTTACCATGAAACGCTGTTTTAAAGTAAACTTTTTTATTAAGTACATTCTAATAAGTATATATAGCAAATAAACTGGTAATGTAGTTTTTAATTACCATATGAAGTAGTCAGGTGCTGATGTTTCTGTCTAGTACAGACTGCATATGCAACTATGTTCCCTAAGACTATAATGGGGCTGAAAAATTTCTGTCACCTAGTATTTACTGTATAGTTGACCCGTCAACATGGGTTTGAACTACTTATATGTGGATTTTTTCCAAACAAATTCAGATGAGAGATACAATATTCTTGGGATGCTAAAATCTCCTATACAGAGGGCTAGCTTTTGGTATATGCAGGTTCCTCAGGGCCAACTGTGGGACTTGAGCATGCAAGGATTTTGGCAATGAGCTTTTAATCATTATTGGAGTGTACCACTTCTACTTATTTTTTAAAAACAATGTTAACTCTAAAACAGCCTCAGGGAGGTCCCTTCAGGAAGTATCCAGAAGGCACTCCATCATAGATGATGGCTCCATGTGTGTTACTACTCCTGAAAACCTTCCAGTGGGACAAGGTGGCAATCTAATTTTGTCTCTGTGTCTTAGTTTTTAACAGTTTAAAAAGTTTAAAAAAAAAGCTTTTAGGTATATAACGACAAAATATTTTTGTACAGCTGTACAATGTGTTCGTGTTTTGAGTATTACAAAAGATTCAAAAGCTAAAAATTTTAAAGTTTGTAAAATAAATTTATGTAGCCGAAGTGTGTTTATAAAGTCTACAGTGATGTACAGTACGTCCCCCTTCATAGTCACTCACCACTCAGCAACTTCCAGTCCCTCAAGTGCCCTATACAAATGTACCAATTTTTTATCTTTTATAGTGTATTTTTAATGTACCTCTTCTATGTATCACTATGTTTAGAAACACAAATACTTACCATTGTGTGAGTCACTCTTACAGTAGTCAGTATAGTAACATGCCATACAGGTTTGCAGCCTAGGAGCAACGGGCCATACCACATAGCTTAGGTGTACAGTAGGCTATACCACCTAGGTCTGTGTAAGTACCCTTTATGAAGTTTGTACAACAACGAAATCACCTAACAAGGAATTTCTCAGAATGCATCACATCATTAAGCAATGCATCATGGTATTATGTGCTATAAATAACTGTATGTGCTATACCTCTATATGACTGACAACACAGGTGTGTTTACACTAGCATCACTACAGACATGTGAATGTTGTGCTATGATGTCATTAGGTAATAGAGGTTTTTCAGCTCAATTATAATCTTATGGGATCACTGCTGTAGATGAAGTCCGTCACTGACCAAAATGTCGTTATGTGGTACACGACTGCAGTAAAATTCAGTGCCAGAATATTTTAGTACAATTAGACAATTTTAATAGATAAAGCTATACCCTTTTATTCCTTTCCCCATTATGGAGAAATTTTCATAGAAAAAAGGCAAATCTCCATTTTTTTCTCTGATTAAAGTATAGGGTAGTATCAGATTCAGTGCTGATCAAAAAAATGACTGATTTCAAAAGTTGGCTTTCTTCTTTAAGCCATGCTGCTCTTTCTCAACCAATAACACTTCACAACAGTTAATGAAGTAACAGCTGCTTTGATTCAAATCAAGAAGTTAAATAAAATGTCCTACAGACTGTGTGAAGGGTGTGGTATTTAAAAGCCAATAATGGATTATGGAATGTACTGATATCAAAGAGCAACTTTCAGAATTAGGATTGTTAACACTTATCTAGTCAGTCCTTTGATGATGATAGGTTAACTGACATATGCATGGCAAGAGATGATCTTTTCTCCCTAGAAACCAACTTTGTTTCAGATATTGGTTTGAACTAAGATGAAATACTCTGCTTCTCCTCAAAGCTCAACTCTTTAGTATTCAGCTACGAGGCTTTCAGATTGATAAAACTGAATTAAATAGATGATGTGTCCCACTGGAAAGCATTCTCATTCTAAGACTGCTGGCTAGTACCTTTGCCTAGGGTACTTAAAAAAAAAAAAAAAAAAAAAAAAGTCGTCAAATTTTGGAGGTGAAGTTTAGAAGTACTAATTCCCTGAAGAGTTTGTTCCAATAGATGAACAGATCATTAATGTAGAATGAGACTCACTCCCCCTCAATACATGACATCATCACGTATTGCTATTTGCTGGCACTGCTAATATTGTTTATAATGCCAGTATGCAAAAAGTTAAGTCTTATCTCTGTCACTGCCGTCCTACAGAGGACGTCCTTCCCAGGCCTCCCATAGAAGTTGGATGCCATCAACATAGAGAACTAAGAAAAGCTTAATGTAAGGAAGGGTCTGGTCTTTTTCTGTGCAGAAAAAACAAGAATGGCAACACAGACACAGAAACACAGAAGACGCAGAAAGATAGAAGAGCCAGAGTGCTTTAGGGGAAATGCTGGTATACAGCAGGCTCCGTTACTTTTAAGTAACAAAATTTCCCTTTCTTCTTAAACCTAAAGTTTCAGTCCATTGACAAAAACAAAGTTTTTCTTAGTCTTCCCACTGCTCAGGAAAATACGAAATGCAATTTTGACACTTTCCACATTAGGTTGTTGCCTAGAATCACTGCATCGCTAAAAAAGGCCTAGAACTGAAAAGGGAGTATACCATGCTGCCATTTGAGGAAGTCTCCTGTGCCACTCACCTGGTTTTTCGTAAGTGAAGGGTCCCACAGTCCTACATCCTCCCATGTAGTGTTTTTCAAATAAAAGTCATTAGGTTCAAATTGTTTAAAATCCTAGAAAACAGTGAGAGAAGTTTACGAAAACATAGCGGTATAAACGCTAACCCAACCTTACATATAAATCTGACTTCTAACTAAGATGGAGAGAGGACAGGAAAACCAACCCCATCAAGAACTTAAACTAGGAGTGATAAGGCTCTTAAATACAAAAAGGCATACGGAAGTTGCAGTCTACATTTTATATCAACCAACCACTCTCCTGATGGTCGGCCAGGTTTCCAAGGAAACTGCTGAAGTTCTAATTCAGTAAAAAATTCAGCCACACACTAATATCAAAGCACTTTTCATTAGAGTACCGTAACTTATCGGTTAGAGTACTGGAATGGTGTCTAAAATAGCAATGTTTGCTTATAGCCCTGCAGATATAATTTCTGGTTCTGTGCAAAAAAAAAAAAAAAAAAATTTTTTTTTTTGAGGGGAGGGGGCAGGACATCAGATCAGAATGAAAACTCAGAATTTCAAACCCAAAAAGGCATAAAGAAAGCTATTCAAAGAAAGTTAAGCCATATGATGTTAAATTTATACTCTAATGTAAAAATTTAATGGCCCACTTCCCTCCAGACTAGGAAGATTAAAAGTAATTAGGGTAAAATCCCACTTGTTCCTGAAAGGTTCACAGTTCAAGGTAGAAAACGAAGTATACACGTAAATAATCATAGGAGGAACAAATCAAATGCATGACAGAAAACATACTGTGATGTTGGCATTAATTGTTTCTATGAAGATGATCCACAGAGTGCAAAGTGAATAGACTGCTTCATTTGGGCAGATCTACCTGAACTTTGGGTTTGGAGAAAGGCTACTTCCACACTTGGAACATAACTAGAGAAGTCGACTTTTGAGCAGCTTCAGTTTCCAAGATATACTCTTCAAGCATTAGTGGAACTCAAAATAAGAAAATTTGTTGCATGAATGAATCTGCTTTTTTACTTCCAATTCCATTCAAACATCTAACTGACCATCTATTATGTGCAAAACACTGTGCTAGGTGCTGGGGACAAATGGATAAACAGGGTAGCTATGGTCCCTAGCCAGCTACAACTTAAAGGTTAGTAGGGGAAACAGCTTCAAACTTTTCTTTTCAATCCGGGACTTCGACCAATAAACCGTAAGACCTCGAACAGTGAGATGTGGAAAAGGAGGAGACCGCTGCATGGCTATCTCACAGGGCTGTGATAAAGCTCACAGAATAAAACAGCTTGAAAAACAGTTCATAAAGCGCAAACTGTTACACAAGGGGGAAAATAATAGTCTACGATGGGTCAAAAGGGGCAACAAATGCTCAAATCCTAAGGAAAGAGACAACAAGCACCCACACAACCATGCCTCAACAATTAGAAGAAGGTCAACCAGAACATTCAGGCATTATCAGAATGAGAACAGGCTTTGAGTCCCACAGACACTGCCACTTTCTCAGCTGCAAGGCTGGGCCTATTTATTTGTTCTTCATCTGTAAAGTGGATATAAGAATTCCTACACTGCCTCCCGCCTCCATGGTCGTTTTAAGAAATAAAGGTACAGACAACTTGACAGCACCTAGTACAATTGCCTGACATGCTGAAGTCCTCAATGGTAGCCTTTTGCTTCAGGATGCAAAAATGAAAAAGCCCATTTTAGGGAGAAGGGCACAAGTTATGCTATTGAGAATGCTTTCGTGAAGCTACTGCTGTGGCTGAAATTCAGAATCACATCTAAGAATTAGCCATCTTGGCCACTGACACAAAGTAATGGATCAGAAGCTGAGTCATGTTAAAATTTAAAAATGACATGCTACTTACTTCTATATGTTCTTTACAGTATTCCAACCCAATGTCACTAAGTATTTTTTTCACAGTTTTCCGGGCTTTTCTTAAACTGCCAAGATTGTTGACAGGAAGTTGGAACATAGTTTCTATTGGAAAGAAAAATTTAAGTCAAAGTCAAAACACGTACAACTTGTAATATTTACTAATTCCACTGATGACAGGATCATAAACCCTACCCATCTGACAAAAAAGGTGCATAGGTATCCTCATCTAGTGTGAACACACACACACACACGCTTGCATGTGCATATGGCTTGCTCCATCCATCCATCCATCCATCCATCCATCCATTTTTTTTTTAAAGACACTCTTGCTCTGTTGCCTAGGCTGGAGTGCAGTACACTGATGGTTCACCATAGCCTCAACCTTCTGGGCTCAAGTGATCCTCTCACCTCAGCTTCCCAAAAGGATGGGACTCCAGGAGTGTGCCACCATGCCCAACTAATTTTCAAAAATTTTATATAGTGACTAGATCTCACTATGTTGCCCAGGCTGGTCACGAACTCCTGGACTCAAGTCATCCTCTCTCCCTGACCTCCCAAAGTGCTAGCATTACAGGCGTGAGCTACTGGGCCAGGCACGTATCTACCACGTTTTGAACACTTAGCAAGTGGGCAGGCAAAGTAAGTACTCTCTGATCTTCCTAGTTTTTAAGAGGACATTTTGACTGAGTCTAATCTGGCATAATTCTGATTAGACTTAAAACAGTTCAGTGATGAACTTATAGTTGAGAATTAGAGAAATAATAGCAACCAATTAGTTTTAAATCAAGTGCTACTGCTTTTCTCCTTCTGATGTTAAACTTCTGAAAACAGAAAAGTGCTTACCATTTCATCATCATTACACAGTTTTGAGTGCCAGGGTAGAGAGGATTTTGTTGAATTGGAACTGTCCTGCCTACTGCTATGGTATTCTTAAAAAACAAAAACAAAAACTTTACAGTTTCTGTATACTGCCCAAATTAAAGACAGTAAAGATATGTGACTTGACCAAAACATGCCCAGTTTACCCCTGTCTGCAACATACCTGGGCAAAGGCACTCACAAATGGCAACTGTTAGACTTTAAGGAGGATCCTTTGAAATCATGAAAAGCCTATATGTGTGTAAGAAAACTGAAAAATTATTTGAATGACTTAATACATTAAATCAGCTTTTTAGATAAACTTTCCCAAGTTCCTTAAAAACAAAAGTTTGTCTTTAATGAGAAAATAAAATCAATAAAACTTGGGCAGTTGAGAATATGTATGGTTTCTAATGTGATCATAAATGCTTCCTATAATATGGTAAAAAGCTGTCAATTTAATAATCCAAGTCTAACACAATTTTACAGGATATAAAGTAGTTCTAAAACCCAAAACAGCAAAAACAAAAGGCAAAGCACCAAGAATGGAAAATTAATATATGCAAATCCAGTGGTCTAACTAATAAAGGCTGTTACTCTGTAATACCAATATCATCTGTAAATTGCAACTAATCCAAATATAAAATGTTGCCTCATTTATTATTTTAATCCAAAATTAATGTCAACTATAAGAAATCAAAAATAAAAAGTGAAATCTACCAAAATCAAACTGTAACTCCTAGAAAATTTGAAACTGGGTATGTTACACTAACTTAGAATTCTCAAAATATTCTCTATCAAGTACCAAAGTTTAATTGGGGCCAAAAGAGGAAAGTATTTCGAAAAAACCTCAGCCTTATCACACGCAAGACAGAACTGCTGTTCACTATGAACCAATGACTATAGTGTCCCTTGCCCTCTGCCATGCTAGTAGTTTACATATTGTGCAGCCAAATGCAGATTTAGAAGTCTACTCTGATATAAATTAAGACCAAAGCAATTTTTTTGGTCCAAATTTTATCACTGAATGATTTAAGCCACCACAGAAAGATGGTTTCATATCACCTTTCTGTGGTGGCTTAAAAACAGAAAATTCTTCATCAGTTGGTTCCTTTAAAACAGTTACTATAAACCAAGTCTTTTTTAGAGAGATGCACATATTAGAAAAATATTTCAGAAATACAGAAAAGTGTTACAGGTTAATTCTGAAGAAACTGGGTATTAAAATGGATGCCCACAGACACCTAAGACTGGGAAGAGACATCTTGTTTCTCTATTCATTTCATAGACTACGTGCCAAAATTCAGGTATCTGGGAACTTTCTCAGTTAACCCTGCTTCACACTTCATAAGAGATGTGTCCAGAAGCCAGCCGTTACTGGTTTCCCTGCCTCCTGGATGAGTGACTCAACAATGTCAGCAAAACAAAGACATAAAGATTTGGAAATGCAGCCACCACTGAGGTCATTAGTCTATAGAAAACATAAAATAAGAATCAAGTTGCAGCTTGGGGTAAAGAAAATCCCATTCTCCTAAGTGCCTACCCATAGCTTTAAAAGTCAGTTTAAGACATTAAGATGAAACATGTCACTGCCTCGTAGGTATTTTTTTCTGAAAAAGTGAGTATGCCTATAAAGGAATTCAGTTGTAAGAAACCTGTAATTTATTAAAAGCGGTATTTCAGCCACAGAGTTGGTGTTGGGTTTACTTAACTATGTTGAATTTAAAAGGCTTATAAATAAAACAGTGACACTGCTTATTGGGATATGCTATATCAAAAAATGTTATTTTGCTGTAGGCTTTTACAACTAGGAATAATCTGTATTTTTTCTTGAGACAGGGTTCCACTTTTTTTTTTTTTTTTTTTTAGACGGAGTTTCACTCTTGTCGCCCAGGCTGGAGTGCAACAGCGCAATCTTGACTCACTGCAACCTCTGTCTCCCAGGTTCTAGCAATTCTCTTTCCTCAGCCTCCCAAGTAGCTGGGATTACAGGCATGTGCCACCACATCCCACTGATTTTTTATTTTTACTAGAGACGGGGTTTCACCATGTTGGCCAGGCTGGTCTCGAGCTCCTGACCTCAGGTGATCTACCCGCCTGGGCCTCCCAAAGTGCTGGAATTACAGGCGTGAGCCACTGCACCTGGCCAGGGTTCCACTTTTCATCCAGGCTGGAGTGTAGTGGTACAATGACAGCTCACTGCAGCCTCGACCTCCTGGGCAGAATTGGTCTTCCCACCTCAGCCCCACCAGGCAGCGGGGACCATAGGTCCACACTACCACACCTGGCTAACTTTTTGGTATTTTTTGTAGAGATGGGGTTTTGCTATGTTGCCCAAGCCAGTCCTGAACTCCCGAGCAAGTGATTTGCTCGCCTTGGCCTCCCAAAGTGCTGGAGTTACAGGTGTACGGCACCAAGCTTGACCGGGAATTTATGTTAATATTAATTCAGAACATTCTACATCTTTCAATGTAAAGATTAAACTCTCTTCATATGCGTATTTCTAACATTCCTAATAATCTTGGAAATTCCATAGTGCCCCTTTCTCCAGATCAAAGTATGCCCTCCATGCATTTGTTCATAGAGGTAATTTCTCTAAAATTTACTCCATTTGGACCTCAAATAACACAGTGGTGTGCACTGGCATCTTCAAAATCATTTGCAAAGATTTTTGTGTTTTTTTTTTTTTTTTCTTTAAATACTATTCTCAGTAGATAAAAAAAGCAAACAATTCAGAAATATAAGCAAAGAAGGCTTCCTTCTCACTCCTATCCCTCCAGCCACACAGCTCCCCTTCCCAGAAGGGGCCATGGTTACCCATTCTTTTGAGCTTTTTGCACTACAAGCCAAACAATTCTCTGGAAAAAAGTCAATCATTATGGGTAATAAGAAAAAGAACAGAAGGGCCCTATGTTTCTCTGTATCTACTGCTTGCTGTTAAGAAACGTAAGTTCAAATCAATAGCCGGCTCCAGGGTTCATTAATGTTATCTACTTGGTTCTCCTTTAGCAATCTGGACAAGGGATCCATACCTAAGTAACTGAGGGTGGGAACAGAATAAATAAAAAATTGTCTCTGCCTGAGATTAAGGGGCCTTTCCTCACTTTTGAATGCAAAGAAAGCTAAAAATTAAAATATGGATAATCATTACTGTTAGGGAGAAAGACACCTTAACACCAACGCCAAAAATGGTCCAAGAGATAGGCTTTGACATGCAGAGAAATGGGCGTACTGTCTCACAGATTTGTCCCATGGGAGCTAATCCTTTCTCTCTTGCCTCCTTGGTTATCAGGGTGGTCATTAAAAAAAATTTTCAGATGAACATTATTATTCCAATACCAAGGAGAGCTGGCTCCCTTCAGCCAAACCTTTCAGCTCATGACATAAAAAAGGAAAAATATTGGGTGGGGGGGAGGGGAGAAAAAATATCCAATTTAACAAACCGATATTTTGTTCAACTGTTAGACAATCACTTTCAGAGAACCTGCACTTAGCCACTCAACTGTGCTAGGAAAAGCGAGATGAGTAAGACACAGTTCTTCCTTTCAACAGTCCATTTCTTCCAGCCTGGAGTACACAGCCAGCCCTCAGTCAAGGTTTAGACACTTGTTTTTGGCTGCGCAGCCTCCTCTTGGAACTGCCTCTGCCACAACTTATGAAAGACAGGAAGTCTCTCCGTCAGCAGAGGAGAGTATACCTGACTTAGGTTGACTGGTAAGAATATTTCATCTCTGTAGATGATGACCACTAGAATTGGACATGTCCCCCAAACAAGGCTGACAGTAATGCTGAAAAGGAGAGCTAGAACCTGCCATCACATGAAGGAAGCAGAGGTAGGGAACAACTCCTACTGATACTGTTTAGGGTCCTCAACCCAGCTGTGCCTGAAGAACAGCACTTCCCTATGCCAGCCTTTTCCAATATATAAACAAACACATTATTGTTTCTGCCTAAGCTAACTTCGTATCACTCACAACCAAAAATTTTGACAGACCCACTGGGCAGTGGGACACAGGACAGAAAGTGGATAATTAAGAGGAAGATAGAGTATTTACGCAAAATAATTACAACTGTGAATTGGGTCTAGTAGGAATTTGTAGGATGAAAGTTATTCTAAAAAAATGCTTTGGCCCCCCATTTCATTAAGTAAAAAAACCAAAAACACTACATGGAGAGTTAAACACCCTAAATACTAAAAGAATTAAGAGAAAGCTCAATTATCTATTAATAATAGACTTAAGATT